AAAGCTGGGTGTTTTAACCTGGCCTTCTCATTGTTTATGTCAAGGACTTGCCTGGCCTTTTGAATATTTACGAATCAATTTTTGCATATTTCAATTGCGGTCTTTGGCAAATCGCACGACATGGTCTTATATCCACCAGATCCTCGCGAAGTAGTCTGCGATTAACCGACGGTTCTTCCTTATCGTTTTTGTCGCCCGTCGAGTTCATGTGTAAGGGGTTTGAAAAACGACGTCTTCTTATTCAATATTTAATTCCGACACGCCACAAACACGGTATTAGCCTTCAGATTACCCGAAGTACCTTGTCCGCCAAAAAAACCCAGCTCAGTGACTGGGTCTAAAGGACTGCTGCGCGGATGGTTACTAGCCTCAAACCACTAATTGAGAAACCCTTCAAGGGGCGCGCAACCTTTTTATGTGGACCATCGTGGCCTCCGATTTCACCTGGCTCATGTACCTCTTGCACGAATAAGACTGCAATTACAGGTTTTCACAGTTGACCTATTTAATAAATGCGTACGACACGCCTAATCATCCTTCAGACTGAATGAAATACCAGTAAGCTCCCAATCTCTCTGCTTTTATAGCAGGGGCTAGACCAAGAGTAATGTCATATATCCACTACAAATTACATAAATCCAGCGACCTTTCGGCGTGTCCTCCAGCGTGTACGTCACCAATTCTTCCTAGTTTCCTGCACTCGCATCTGGGACAGTCTCACCGATCAGTTTCGGAATAGTATACACCAACATACGTTTTCGCAGTCTGTAGATAGCTTTCTTACATGTGAAGCCGCCGCCAACCTACTTAATACCAAACCGCCCCTTGACGTCATTTATGAATCGGGTCCAACTTACCCACACACCCCCCGAGTTTGGCAAAGGCGAAACTGGTGATTAATAAAGGGAAAAAATAGTTTAAAAAAGTAAAATCTTCCACCTTGCTACCCCTCTGACCTGCCGGAAGCTTCAGTTACCCGCCGTGTCTGCTTGATCACAGTGTACTCTGTTACTATACTGTCTTCCTCTCAAAGCAACTCATACCAGGCTCCTTCCAGTATGTCCACACCCCCGACTAATTTATCTGCTCTGTTTAACGATTGGTGCTTCGTCCCGCATGGCCCTAGCGGATATAAACCAAACAGAAGTCCGAGCTCCTCGTAACTGAGAACGTAGTGTACGCCAAACAATCCACTAAGCACACGCATATATAATATTGCGGCACACCTCTGCTTGGCCCGGCAGCCCACACCCCGTTATCGTTTAGCCATGGTTCACACGCTCTGGACATCTCACTTCTCTTCTTGTTGTCTAAATGGTAGCTGTCGCCTCACTTGCCTTGTGTGCGAACTGTCTTTTGAGGGGCTGCTTATTCTCTGCTTGTTTGAAATGGCTGAACCGTTTCACTACCCTGGTTTCCCATAACTGGATAAAAGCTCTGGTAGCCGGAGTTCTTTATCGGTGCACTGCTTAATGACATGCTACCTTACAGATATGGTAGCATGCACGTGGAATGAAAACCCGGTGTGGTGGTCGGTAGTTCCTGCAGACGCCCAGCTGTGTTGCACCATGGTGCGTTCGTATACCCCCATTCCTCTAGGACCACGGGTGCTTCACTCAGTGCCGGTGGTTCTAAGCATTGCATTTAATTCAGCAGATCCATAAGAGTACTGTTGTTTTCTGTATGCTGCTGGACTGGACTCGCCCTGGTTATACCATCCAATGGGCAACAATATAGTTTACGGACGGTAAAAGACTGACCTTTCATCTGTTAAAAGAGCAGTCCACAAAAAACAGATGGGGTAGCCTGAAGACACACTGCGATTCATCCGGTTTACACTGACGTGCAGAAGTGTAGCTTTCTTCGTCATTACTGGGGTTGCACCACATCAAAGCTCACATCGTCACCCAAACTAAACACACTTACCCACCTTCTGATCCCAGGAATGAATATGTAATGAGAAACATGAATGCAATGATATTCCTAACCCTCCACTCCCGGCGTAAAAGACGACCACCGAGAGTTTTTCACAATGTACTACCTGTTACTTGAGGCTGAAAGCAGTAGATTATGGCAGTGTCCAACTCACGCAATAAATACCAGATAAATTAGTCCATTATCTTGGAAGTTCACTCCCGTCAGTCCTTATACGTCTGATTTCTCCAACAGAAACTCCACTCTGCGTGCTTTTACCGGATTGCTCTAGCTCCCGTTCACTGTATCATATGTTGGCTTGATCGCTAGTCTACTAAATCAAACCTATCCCTATCCTGTCTCATTTATTCACTTTCTGTCATCACCCTAATTGTGGTAAACCTTATTTTTTCTGTTAGTTTCCTACCTATTGTCTCCTCAAACTCGCCAGGCTTTATCGATGTCATCGCATCTCATCGGTTTTCCAAGCTTCGACCTTCGGAAATAACTGATTCAGACGCCATGTTTTGCGTCATCCACTCCACTTGACTTGTGATCTACACTCGCAGGTATCCCAGGCAAGCCCAGAACAACCTGAGACTTCACATCGGCTTCGTTTTACCCATGCGAATTTCCCTGGCCGACCCAATGAATCCTCCCGCTCAAAAAATTTCACACACCATCCCAATGACCTCAAACGTGGCGTCCGTTACGGAGTTGTCCGGAAACCGAATATGTCAGTGCAATGATGGCACCGCACTGTCACGCCCATTTCTATGGGATACCCGCACCTATCTAAACCCTCCCCTACTCTTCCCATTAGCTGCAAACCTCTTCACTCGGCCTCAGCAGCCCCCAGGATGCGCCCATTCTAATCTGCCGAAGCTTTCTTTCAGATTAACTATTTCCGTGAGCTTTCGCTCTATGCTCACCTAAAAGCCAGTAATCTTCTGCGCAGTTCGCGTTCCTTCTTGCGTGTTGTCACCAACTCGGTGTTCCAAGCCACTTTTACACTCGACTACATTACAGCAGCGACACCCGTGTACACTTCACTGTGCACCATGATTCTTAGGTTCCTGTCACCGTTTATCCCCAGTGCTAATCCCTCCACTTCATCATCCCCAGTGATAACAGTGGTGGTGTCCAACAACGCAAGACTACGAAGCCTCAGGGGTGGATAGAAATTTTTGGTTCAAATAGACCGTCTGGATTACGCCAACTCTGTTGCTTCACCAGATCCGTTGTTCCGGTTGCGCGCTTTCCACAGTTTACGGATTTCTTGTCACGTGTCATGCAGGACGCCTCTTTTTCACCCTCTCTCGCTTTCGTTTTGCCCGCCACCATCAAATTCTAACGATCTGATATGGCATTTGCACTATATTTTCTCCGAAAGAAAGATGGATTAATCGTTCTTCCCAGTTTATGCCGGTTTAGTGGTTTCCGCGCCCACGTGGGATAATGCTGTTTTTGGTGGTGTAGGTTTCCGCGCAATCCCCAGTGCCCATAAATCCGTATAATCATGCTTTATTCTGACTGTAACCTTTTGATCATGCCTAATGGCATGCCGCCAATTAGTTGGGGGTGCGCATTATTATGACTGCATGTCTATACTCAGCCCCAGCGTCCTGACATTCGTCACTCTTGGACAAGATCAACCCATTCTGCGCATTGGGACCCGACGAGGTCCATCCGAGGATCCTGAAAGAAACGTCCTCCAACCTGGCAAACCATTTACACTTGGTGTTTCGTCAGTCGCTTGACGAAGGCCGCCTTCCCCCTGCTTGGAAGGAAGCGATTGTCACGCCAATATACAAAACTGGTGACCGACTATCGCCTGGCAGCTATAGGCCTATAAGCCTCACTAGCGTGCCGTGCAAGGTGATGGAACGCATTCTGAAGCGAGCCATCCTAGATCACCTTACTTCCAGCAATCTGATATCTCCAGCTCAACACGGATTTCTCCCAAACCGTTCTTGCGTAACAAACATGCTCGTGTTTATGGACAGCTTAACCCAAGCCAAGGACGAAGGACTCATATCGGATGCCATATTTTTCGACTTCTCAAAAGCATTTGATAGGGTCCCACACGTCCCGCTGCTCCACAAACTCGAGTCTTACGGGATTCAAGGGAAAATCCTTCGCTGGATCAAGGCGTTCCTATCAGACAGGTCATTCCGAGTGAGAATAGGCTCAACCTATTCCTCTCCAGCGCCGGTCTCCATTGGAGTTCCTCAAGGCTCCGTCTTGGGACCACTCCTGTTTCTGATCTACGTCAACGACCTCCCAGACGTTCTTGCGAGTCCATGTTTACTTTTTGCGGACGACTTGAAATCCTGGAGTTCCAATGCCAGCGCCCTCCAAATGGATGTAGACGCTGCCAAGCAGTGGTCGTTGGACTGGCACCTTCCTCTGAATGATGAAAAGTGCGTCCATGTGTCGTTTGGAGGGGATTCAGCGAATGCCTTTGTTATGCATGGTGAAAAGGGACCAGAAAACATCATGAGGATAGATGCCAAAAAAGATTTAGGCATCTGGGTCTCCTCAAACTTGTCCTTCGCACTACACCATGAGAAATCGGCCCAAAAGGCATTCGCCGTTTTACGGATGATCCGACGTACCTTCTCCCGTATTACTCGCATGGACTTCCAAATACTCTATGGGGCCTACGTCAGACCGCTCCTGGAGTACGCCAACCAAGTTGTCTACTCAGGACGTACGAAAGACGTTACCCTCATTGAGCGTGTCCAGCGGGCCGCCACGAGAATGGTTGCCGGCCTCAAGTCCGTGGACTACGAAACGCGTCTCGCGACGCTTGATCTCTTTCCCCTGGAGTACCGTCGCCTCCGAGGGGACCTAATTCTTACCTACGCCCTGTTTGAACAAAGCTTGGCAAACAGGTTTTTTACCGTTGACCCAGCAAACACCCGGCGGGGACATAGTAAGAAAATCTTCAAGCTCAGGGCACACACATCCGTTAGACAAAACTTTTTTTCATTTCGGGTAGTAGCTGCGTGGAATGACCTTCCTCCGACGGTTGTACACGCTCCTTCTCGAACCCAATTTAAAGCACTATTAGACATTTATTTATGCGAATCCTCGCGCTGGCGAGCATACTGCCCCGCGCTGAGAACATAAAGAGCAGTGCTACACCCTTTTTTCACTTGTGCCTTTCAGGTGAACGACAGCCACTGACCGACAAGAACAAAACCGACCCGGGAGACTTGGGCAAAAGCCTCGATCCTGTGTATCAATCCGTGAATCCGTGAATCTTGAAGCCTCAGTAGTGTGCCCCCAAGCCGACATAACGCAGTAAAGAATGGTCAAGTTGTGGAGTCAGAAGTTTGTATTAGCGGTGTCGTGCCCCTCTGAGCATGACGGATGTTGTTGTCTCCGATACACGCGAATCTCACTGGTGAATTAGGTGCAAGGCCTGGAAGACTGAAGCTTGCTTTGAGGAATATCTCTCCGGGGATTGTTAATATAACGGCCCGGGAAATATAATTTTATCATTCATAATTGCAACACAAATAAAAACTTTGGAATCCACATACTACTCTCAAAATTTAGGACGGATTGATGGAGAAGAATCGGCAGTGGTCGTCCAAATATCGTCCTGGGCATCTTTTACACTTACTTGCGCGATTAAAAGTGGTTTGACTGCCGCACTTCGTTGAGGGAGGTAGATTTTACAGTAGGAACTCTCGACCCGTCACTCATTCATCCAAGAAGACATGCGTGTCAGTAAGCATTGCCATCAGTGGCGTAGACTCGAATTCACCCACTTCTCTGCAATGCGGCATTTGTTTGAGCCAGGAGAACAAAACTTCCTTTGAGTGAGTCATTTCCTCGCCACGTAACAGTGTAAGCAATGAACAGAACAAAAATGACGGCTGCAATACGATTCTCCGCCTTGGGGCTAATCATCGATGTCCGCCACATGCCGCGGGTGATAAGCACCTCTGTTCCACTGATATGCAAAGTCTGCTTGCACTACAAAATCATACTTCGCAAAAAACGCGCAACCGCACGAGCGTAAACAACAGAACATCCAAGCTGAGTTGGTCACAAGCACATACAGCCACGGGCCTGTAAGTGAGCAATGCCATTGTATAGCCTACAGATAACAAGTGACACTGTGACACGTGACTGTCACTCTGTGACACGTCACGGATCATCAAGCAGGACACGAGCACCACCAAACACCAAGTACTTCCACAGTTTTTCTGAACACGGCCATGGATTTTCGTGGGCGATTTAAGTACCTCAAAAACCACCCTTTCTTTCTGCTCAGCTAATCGACTGTTGTTTAAAAATACATTGCAATCAGATTTTTGCAACCCTTGAGAATGCCGCATGTTTAAGCTGACTTCGGTAGAGCAACCGCCTCGGCGAAGCACACGCATGTTTCTGTGGCCGTCGAAAACCTTATAACGGAACAAAGTTGAATTGGGTCAGCACAGAAACCTAGACAGCGACAGATACCGCAAACATAAATTTGCGGGCGCGCACCTGTCTGCTACGAGTGTGTAACAAACAGAATGCAGAAGTACTTCTCCGCACATCCGTTTAGCCTTTGAAGCCTAGTGACTGTCGATTGGCGCAACACTTGTCCGCTCCATGCTAAAATTTTTGCAATTCAGACTTACACTGCATGGAAATACGATACCCATGACCAAATTTTTGCTCTAATAACTGTTTTCACATTACTTTCGTCTGCCGATGCGTTCTATGAACATGCAAATCCGCGCCTAGCCACAAAATCTTACATTGTTTCATTTTTTTAGTGCTAAGTAGTTGGCTACGATGTAATGGTTTCCACTTATACTGTAACTGATAAATCCATTATCACACGAGGTTAGCATAGTTTAACAGAGATCGGGACCGCATGCGCAATGAGCGTGTAGTGAATTGCTGCAGATTCTGATTGGACATCATGGGACACTGATATGGCCCACTCAGAATTACAGTTCAAACAGTATTCACGGATTCATGGATTGATACACATGATCGAGGCTTTTGTCCAAGTTCCTGTGTATCAATCCGTGAATCCGTGAATATTGTTTGAACTGTAATTTTGAGTGGTAATTCAAATGAATCTTGTGTTATCGCTCTGAGATGACCCATCGACCGCTCCTATCAGTTCGTGGAGAAAATTACGTGTTCGGAAATCCTGAGAAATATGCACAAGATATGGAGATCTTGCTGGCCGGTGAAAAGTTCTGGTGCGTCATTATAACCAATATTCTTATTTATTTTAATTTCTTTTTTATTGTTATTACTTTTGTGGTTAGGACAGAGCAAGTTTAATCTTTTGCTCGTTTCTTCTCATTTTTATGGGTGCTACAAGGTTACAGTATCTCGATAACTGTTGATCGCAATTTATCCAGAAATATTTCGGTCAAGAAAAAATTCAAAATTTTGAGATCGAACGGCAACAGTCTGCCTTAATTTCTTTGGGGGTTTGCAGTATGTGTTAGCCTGAGCTACCTGCATCCCACCCAGTGCAAGAGGTTCAGGATTGTCCGACCCGCTGACCACTGCTAACACGGTTCCGGAGGTCAAGGAGATGCTCGAATGAGAAATAGTTGCAGCAGTGTAGGTAGACTGTTGGTGTGTAAAATTCAGAAGTGACCGCGGCATAGACATAAATATTTCTCTAACAAGCTTCGTGGATGTGTTTTCACCTGCTTCATGTTCTGTTCTCTCTCTTAAGGCAGGGACTCTAGACCTGGATCGTGTATTATATGAGTGGTCCCATGTAAGTACACAGGCTGGTTAATAACCTCTCCTTTGGGTCAGTTACTATTTCGATGCCGTGAGCCACATATGGCATAGGTCGATCCCACTGGGGTTGATGCAATGAGACCCAATAGTGTGACCAGACGGCAGCCTAAAACATCATTCAAACGCTATGCTAAGGAGAAATAGAAAACTATATTTTTTAATGTGAAAGCAGAGATCCTAGACGCGGATGTCGGTGTTTTTTAATCCACCAGATTTAAAACCCGTCCAGCAAAGAATAGTTTATGAACCGCTTGCTAAATTCACATACACCGGAACTGAGGAACATCAAACAAAATAGTTGATAATCTAGCCACCCGAACAGTACAGGACTCTACGGACTATTTTCTGAGAAAGGACGTACATATGAGCTTCTATGGAACTCCCATTGTACTTTCACGAGCCTGAAATTCCAAAAACTCCAAAAACATTGTACTGACAAACTTCTGGACATTCCTTTCTGAGCACGCTTTTTGATGGGAACAGACTGGAAAACTGGTTCAAAAGCCTTCTAAAAATCCTGAAATATCAGAACTATGGATTGCTTATGCGTGTGGCGTCTTTCTAGCCGTGAAAAATGGGAAAATTTAGTCAACGCAACCTTTAATAACCCAAACATTTGCTGGCTACTCTCGAGTCAGCGCGTTGCAGGCCACAGTAAAGCACCGGGAAGCGATCCAAAACAAGATTTACATCAGGAATGGAATCACGCTGATCCTCACTCAGTACTGATCTAATCTTTGAAAATTGGCACTATTACCGTTTTTCCTGTGTTTTTGGGCACATCCTTTTCCCAATTTTAGGCAAAAAGATCACATAAGTAACAACTGAGGACTTATCCCATCCTTGAATAATGTGAGTCAGGGGTCCTTCGGACAAGGAACACGGTCGTGCCTGACGAAACGTGTGCAGTCATAAATTTATGAGGCAGTAGGTGGTTGGAGTTTTATCATCCAGATTCCTAAAACAGTTTGACAATCCTACTGGCAGAAAGAGATGGCCACGACTACTCTTCTCCGAAGTGCCCGATCCGATGGCCAACGCATGAATCAGTTACTACTGCATTGCCTTCATGGAAACTTCAACACCACATCCCTTGAGGACCGTTTGTCTGTGGCACTGTCTCAATGGACACCCTGTTTGACCTCTTGGACTGTATCGCACTTCGCAACAGCTTTAAAGGGTCAACCTGATATATGAGCTCTAACGGTTCTTCCATCCTCAATCTCAACCTTACTAACCTAGAGCTGATGCTTAAAGCCACCGACTACCAAATATTCTTAGTTCGCGGTGACTACTTGGTCATTGATTTCGATTGTTCTACCTGTGCGAAGAGGAGTAAGGAAGGAATAAAGCGTTCAGCTGTAGCACCCTTCCGGTGCCTAGCTGCCATGCCACCCGAAGGAAGCACGAGGGCTGGAATACTGCCAGGTTGCCCAAGCCTAGACAGGGGAAGTCGAGTGGCGGAGGTCGGATTCGAACCACGGATCTTTCGGTCAGTAAATTGCGCCCTAACCACTTGAACCATCTCGCCCCCCGAAGAGGAGTAAAGCCACCGCACTCTGTACCAAAAGCACAACCGACCTCCGGCCCTTCAGCATCCGGTACCAGCCAATGAGTGGGACTTCATGCAACAATTCTCACCAGATGCTAACTTAGAAACCTCTAGCAGTCAGCCAACGGTGCGGAACCAATCATCTTATCAAGCTACATTGTTTGTTAGCTCCATCAATCTAAAAATCTGGACTGAAAGCTGGAGGAAGAATGGAGTTGTTAAGCCAGAGGATGCTCGGCCTCACAAGAGGGTTTATAATGGGACATTATGGCGAACTACGGGATCCACTGTCCTCCTTCAGCCATGCAAAACAAAATGAGCTAATAGTTTGTGCTAGTTTCCAAACTTGAATCAGACCGTAAGATCCCATACATACATGTCAATACTGTTGGTAAAAGAGGGCTTTGCAGCAATTTACTCCAAAGTATAAGTAGTCTTGCATACCAAAAGAAATAACCAACACCTCACTTGGACAACACAGTTTCGTCCCCATCACTTCACCTATTATTGCATTATTTAAGCATAAACATCTTCACAATGATGGAATCCTCAGTCACATGAGATTATTCACGGGTTTTGTAGAACAATAACTGAAAACTGTCCGAAAAAGCGTCTCCCCTAATATCTTCACTACTAACCTCAGAACTGCTTTAAAAGAGCCAAAAGTAAACGGATATGTCCTGTGTTTGTAAAGAATATGAGCTCTTAAAAATTATCCCCAATTCTAAGTACAGAAGGTCTAACTCAGTAGCTGCAAGAGACTGTTCTCTACCGTCTTATCCGTACCCAGAATCAATAGTCGCCGATCAATTACGAGCCTACTTCGAGAATCAATACCTATGGTCACCTGCGCACCACATATTTATGAGTCAGAGGTTTTACCTGGCAAACAATTTACCGATAAGAAATGCACCAACCTAATTTCTTAACGAAAGACTTGATATTAATTGTATTCTTTCGATTTTTCGGATACCGATGCCAATACAAGACGGAACCCTGCAACAACGGTTTGCTGCATAAAGCAAATTTCTGTAGGCGCTTTGCTGTTGTTTTTGATGTAAAACGACTGAGGTCAGGGTCAATGCGACCCCGTTCCATATTCCGGTCGCATGGTAATCAGGCCTTATCCTGATGCGATAGCCAGTATGCCTCAGCAACTTCTCCGGGCATGCTGCATGATTTTCACCTGGAATCCGCAGACCCTTTCCTTCCATGTCGGCCAATAGACCGAGGTCTGAAAAACACACCTCCCTGGCCCCTTATGGTAAGGGTTGAAGCAAGTAGGGCAGCCTGTTCTCTTGGCGGTAGTCTTACGCCAGCAGTTGCTGAGAACCTCAACCACAACCCTGCCTTGCTATGGGTTCTTTGATAGCATCTCTGCCCAAGTACAATCACAAAATTTACGACTAACCATAAGCTATATCGACCGTCATGTGGTGGCATCAGTCCAACCGTCTCACTCGCTGTGTACAACAGATCGCGTGAGCAGCAACATCCCTCATTTTCTTCATTTTTTTCTCGAATTATCTGCCTTGTCATCTGACCATCAATATTTCGCAGAGTATACGTATATAAGTCTAGCTGGTTACCCAGGGAATTGACTAAATTCACATTGCCATTGACATTTAAAACCCCGCTCCAATATCCGGACGCCGATTTTTTCGCATTTTCTAATGCTTGCACCTTATAGAAAGTTGGCTACCAATTCTCACCAGCGCGCGCTGTTGATACTTTGGTGATTGATGTTTGTCTCACTCTTCAAGCCCGAATACCAGATGAAATGCCTCCTCTTCCTGGATGCCATCGGTTGAGAATAACAATGAGTTCGCAGTCCTGCTATTTTTAAACGAACTAGCCCACAGTTTTTATATAACTATCTACGGTCGGTTGCACTTCCTCATATTCCTTCATGTTTGATTTCGTCACGATGTCATCAGGACATCAAGGCTTTTTTTTACCAAAATTAAATCGACGGAAACTGGTGGGCGTAGACTATGCGACGATTTTCCTCGTTGTTTTATAACCACAAGTGTGTAAAGTCTCCCACGGAGAGAAGTTCCTACATGTTTTACCAAGTTTCTCATGTTTCGTAGGCTTCTTCCACGATCTTCCTATGGCTCCCTGAGACTTTGGGGAGATGCCTGAGTTTGTTGACAAGTTCACCTACCTGGGAAGCCGAACAACTCATGACTATTTTATAAAATAAGTCAATACGAGCATTGTTAGAGTAAGAACAACTGACAACAATGAAACTGAAGCGTCATGCGCATGGGGTGACCATACGAGGAGTCTTAGTCTATTGCTGTGATATTTGGCCTCTCCGATCCAAGCACAGTAAACAAATTCAAATGACTGATCATCGATTCCTTATCCTTGCACCAGGCTTTAGCTGCCTTTAGTCTGTCCGCGATAAAGTGATGTCCTGGCGAATACTTGGAGATAAGTCAAAATCACCAGAGCGGCAAGTGTAATTCACCTGGCAAAAATGGTTGAGATGTTTGCCGGGAGTATATAACTACCAACTTCCAAAGAAAACGCTATCTTCAATCCTGAGCGCCTTATTGAGGGAGACGAGTGGGGAAAAGGCTATGACGTAATAGCGCGAAATTAGGTCATATAGCTTTTAACTGATGGCAGTGGGATCCTTGAATCTTTTTGTTTGAGATCTGTGGGATTTTCCTTGAACGTTAATAGAAACCTATAGGTTATTGCACTTAACCTGTCTAACTGGCTAGCAACTGTCATTTTCCAGTCGGATTGCTCAGTTAAATTCAGTCTTTTCTGGTGTTCTGGACTCATATCAAATGGGGTTCGCAAACAGGTTTGGGTCAACACATGTGGTAGTTTTTTTCTTAAAGATAATGCTCAGTTGTGTCTATCCTTTTG